AACAAATATATGCTAAGTATGGACATAGATTAATAAACTGTTTTTGAAAAGGGCCAAAAAGGTAAATGTCTTAGGTTTACAGAACCTAACATCTTGGTTGTATTTACTTAGCTCTGCCACTTTAATGTGAAAGCAGCCATCGGCATCATGTCATTCAATGGGAATGGCTGTGTTCCAGGAAAAGTTAATCTTCACCAGTAGATGGAAGTCCAAATTTGACCCATAGGCTATAGTTCGCCAACCATTCAACTGTGTGTTGGACATTTCAACATGAATAAAGTTTTACATTTGACATTAGAGTTCAAACTCTCTAGCTCACCTGTTTATGCATTATATATTGCTTTTCTCTTGCTGCAACAGTAGAGTTGAATAAATGCTAGAAAGACCTTATCATTCATAAAGCCTCAAATGCGTATTTATTCTATCCTTTGCAGGAAAAAGAAATGCTAATCTCTGACCTAGAAAAATAACTAAATTTTAACCAGATAAAAACATTGTACTGTTAATTTACAATGTCTAGTTAATGTGATAATTACCAAAAAACCCCCACACCCAATATAGTTATCATTGTTTATAGTTTGCATAGTCAGAGGTCGTTTACCTGAGCCATATAGCTATTGTTGTGTACCGTTGAACTGGAATCGATGCATAGCTAACCCTCCAGCGGATTTTCAGACGCAATTAATCGCACAGGAGGAGATTTGCCTATCCTTCTTCCGCGGAGCAGCTGGTGGCCTGGAACCACATTCCTTTGGGATTTCAGTGCAGCTTCTTACCACTAGGCCACCAGAGCTCCCTCATATATTATTATTAGAATGTGAGAATTCAAAGCTACGCCCCCATGTCACCAAAATGCCTCCTAATTAATCTGAATCCTAAAGGGTGAATATGGAATTTACCGAGTCGGAAGAAAAGCATTTGAGGCAAACCAAGCAGCCTTTGCAAATGTGTGGACACATAAAACATATTTAAGGAACAGGGTATGGGTGGAGACTAGTGCAAGAAGAGTAACGGGGCTGTGTTAAGAAAAATCTCAAACGTCAGAAGGCAGTTCGCCCTTGCTAGTTCATAACCAGCACTGGTTGGTACGGATAAGCCATTTAGTGATGATGAAATTACAACACTGGATAATTACTAAGTTTATTAAATATTTGCATTGCATGACACTGTCTTTTCAAGATGTGAGTGGAAACCAGTAAAGGCAAAGCCAGTCCAACTTATTGTTCAGATCCTTTATTTAAATGAACAGTGCTGCTTCATCCTACTCATATGACTAATGTAATGACTCACTTCTGATAAATGGCCAAAATAGTAGTCTGCAAGGGCTATTATGAAATTAGAGATTTGGCTTATTTCAAAGGTACCAGGAGTTGTTATTTTAAAATAAGAATAGAAACACCGTGATATTGACTCTAGGGGCACTGTCAAGTGTTTAAAAATGTCTTAGTTGCTGTTTGTAATGTAGGTCAGTCAACATTAAGCATTATCAATCTATCATTCGTGCTGTCTAGAAAGGGAGATTGAGGCCACCAAGGGAAGGTTCCGTCCTGTGTCACAGACTTGCTGAACATTGGTGTGGTACCCGGTTTGCTGCATGGACAGTGTTCTGGGTGGCTTAGAATACTCAACCCCACTGGTCTAGGGAGCTTACTGATGGTTGAACCATTTGAGTGCACAGATGGAATTCTGCTCAAGGACTTCAAAGGGCAAGTTGTGGCCTTTTCTAGAAAGGATGCTTAGTAGAAAGATGGAGCACTTCCACAGAGAAAGCTTAGAGCATCAAGCTGCGAGAAAATACAGTTCTCCCCTGAAAGTATGGAAAGCCTTTTCATGAATTAGAAATGACTGTGGAATGATCTGAGTCAGATGGGAGCTTACAACTTGCTCATCAATTTCCCCCCTAAGGAATATCTTAGGACTAAAAAAGAAGGAACTCTTTATTTTAAAAGAGAATAAGTTTTGTTTTTAAACAGAATAGACTTCATAGGGGTTTAGGGAAGTATAGCTCAGAATGGATCTAAAAGCTCAAAATGTTCTTGAAATCCTTTGTGTTGCATTATAATTTGGTGCAATTTTTTCATTAAATTAAAAAATCTATGTTTGTATGAATCTTGGATTTGAAATACTATTATGCTATAAAACCTATACTATTCTAATCTGAGAAACACATTGGTATCATGTAATGATTCAGATAATAACATCTTAGCACTAAACTCTTGGAATCACCCTTTCTGATTATTATCTAGAGCAGTTGCTGACTACACTAAGGTCAATTTATATCTTCTAATTCTGAACATCTATGTGCTCAGCCTTTAAGGAATCCTTATATAAGTACATTCCCAAATGAATGATGTGCTTACCTCTTACTGTCAAAGCAATTACTGTGATCAAATGAAAAAATATTTTATGATATATGCAATATGTTTTGAAAGAAGGGTAATATTTTAGATGATAAGCACGCAGAAATTTTATTCCACAAAATTCTATGATCTTAGAGATTTTGTTTCATTCTCTGAGCTTCAAATTTTTTTAAAGGAAAAAATACATCTTTCTCTGTTGCTACAGTCATTTAAAAACATAAGGATCAGGAACAACATTCCTCTTTTGCCACAATACCTGGTGCCTGTACTAGGAAGAACATGTGTAGAAAATGATTTCGAATGAGTCTGTTGGGTGTTACGTTACTAACCCAAAGATCTTGCCATCTCTGGTGGTTCAAATCCTTCTTCCGCAGGAGAAGGATGGGTAATCTTCTTTTTTGTAATTTACAGCCTCTGAAAACACACTGGCAGATCAACTATAAGTAAGGCCTGACTTAACAATGAGCCTTTATATTTTGTTTTGTTTTCCAAAGAAATAAGTGGTCATAAGCAGAGTTGAGAGTTGAGGGTTAATGGATTCCAGGGTTAAGATACAAACTGAATGAACAGTCAACCACCAATTTTTTTCCTTTTTTTTTGTTGGCTCCAGGAAGCTTATGAAACACAAGGCATTCTAGAACTCAATCTACTGAGCTGAGAGTCTGCATTTCTCAGACATATAATCTACATACCCCAGATAACACAGATTGCCAGCCCTTTGTCCACAGATTAGTCTTCCCAGTTAAACTCTCTTTAAATTCAGGAAAAAACATCCCTTTTACTTCTTTTCAGTGATTGGGGGCGGGGGGGAAGCAACAACTTCACTGTTGAGATGCCCTCCAAACCTAGAATTAATAGTTGGTAAGCACTGATGTTCAAAGTCTCTTCATATAAGTGTCGCACACAGCCACATCCACCCCTTCTACAAGAAATCTTTAGAGGAAGGAGAGCTAATTATTTATTTCTCCCTAGGAGAAGGTTGAAGCCCAGGAGATGTTCAATTGCTGAAGTCCTTTATCCACTCTAGGCAATAGGGACTTAAAGCAAGTTACTGAGCTTACATGTAGTTCTCTTCCCTAGAAAAACATTGTCTCTGGGCAGCTCACAGCATGTACTAAGCCATCAAAGTACTGGCAAAGTCTTTACTAGACATCAACTTGGTAGAATGTATTAATAGAAGCTGTATTTCATATACTGAATGCACATAAAAAGTGCAACTCTATTTATAAAATTTTCTGCGTGCTAGTTCTCCCAACATGTTCCACTTCTCAAACTGAGCAGATGGGTTCTCTTGTTTCCCACTTTGGAAGCTCTGGAGGCCTTTGAATTTTAAGAGAGATGTATATATTTGGGTTCCTTATTATATGAGTCTGCATTGCTTAAGTTCAGAGAGTTAAGGCTGTGTGTATGTAAGTCTTCCTTCACCCCAAAATTAAAATGTTTATTAAAACAAGTTAATCTTCACCAAGGTGTTCTGACTTGTCCCTTTTTCATTCTGTCAAAATAGTGGCTTGTTGTTGTTTAGGCTGTCATAGATTTTGCAAAATATTTTGAACATTTACAACCTAATGAGATACAATGCACATCACCTGCAAAACAAAATCGATCAGTTCTAGAATATTATGAAGTTGATGACAGTGATGCTGAGGTTTTCTTCAAGTGAATTCTAAGCCATTGGTAAATGAAGATTTGACTGAGTTAGACCAATTAACAATTGAAAAAGAGAAAATCAACAAGGAAGATGATTAGTGACTTCAAAAGAGAAATATTTGAATATGAAAGGAGAAGGAGAAGCCTTGGGGGAAAATGATGAATCTCTCAAATATTTTTACAAAAATTATCTTCCTCCTAATCATGATATGAAAGTTAAATGCAAAGTGAAGGATTTCATTTCATCTGATCATACAATTTTGTCAGAAAAATTACTGTTAAAAAATCAAGACCTGGCTCATTTTCTGCTCATTTTACAAATTAGCATGCCGTTAAAATTATCAAATAAATTCTGGCTTTATAGGCTAAAATAAACTTAGATTCATAAATTTTAGTTTCATTTGCCAAACTGAACTTCTTGCATACTTTTAAAAAAATGAGCTATGGTTCTATTTTGAGTAAATTTGATTTTAGAGAGCACATTGTGTGTTAGTTAAGTTAGTGAAGGTAGTCAATTTTGTGTGCGAAACTGCGGACTAGGATGCCTGTGTCTGAATGCACGTTCAGCTCCTGTATAATGTGGACTGGTTAATCAACTTCTCTGTGCCAAGGTTTCCTTATCTAAAAAAATCACGTAACAGCCCTGTATGAATCAAACACTTGAGAGCAAAGAGAATATTTTATTGAAAGATTTCTGGTCCATTTTCTGAGATGAAGCTTGTCTATTTTCTTCACTGGTTATGAGGGGATACTTTCTAAGCATGGAAGGCTATTTATTTCTTTTTATACCCTCTTCTTCTTGAAACCAAGCTTTGCTCATTTTCTAGCTATTCTTTTCTTTGCTCCACTACCAATCATTTCCACATTAAATTCCCTCAGTAGGGAGTTATCCTATAGTTGTAAGAGGGATTTTTTTTTACCCACTGATGTTTCTCTTTCTATGCCCATTTAGAAAGATTTGGTTTTATCAGTGTCTTAATTTATGCCAACCTCCATGCTCTCTGGTCTACTTGTAGCATTTCAGTTAAGGTTACCAAAATCATTAATCCTTGCATAGGCATTTCCACCTCTGATTTAGCATCACCATCATCATCATCATCACCATCACCATCACCTTTATCCTTTATTGCCTGCTGCCATCTGTTAGACAATGAAACACAAATTGCAGTCCATACATTAACCAACGCAATTCTTGCACAAAAGAATGAGAAAGAATTTTTGTCTCCATTTTTTGATTGAGATCATTGAGCTGTGTGGGACTAGGAAATGTCATGGAGGTCTCCTAGGAGTAAAGTGCAGGAATTCACACTTGTCTTTCTGGCTTCTTACTTCTTTCTTGATCGTGCCTTCTTAACCACAGCATCACGTGAGCTCATGAGATGGATTTCTGTGCATTCAATTTTTCTTGTGTCTAAGAATAATAAATACCATGTGATTTGAGCATGTTAAGGCAGTGTGGGATTCACTTTGAGTTCTTGTTAAATCTTCTAAAGTTCAGTAGACATAAGAGAGACAGAATGCATAGAAGAGTGTGGGCTTTCAAGTGCCAGCTTTGAAATCTGGTCCTGCAACTCACAAGCTGTGTAGCCTTGAGCAATTTGCTTAGTTCTCTCATTTGTAAAATGTAGTGGATGCTGTCCAGTGAACTACGACGCACAGGGTCTCCATGAACAGCAAATCAAAACCTTGCCCTATCCTGTGCCATTCTCACGATCTTGCCTTCATGCTCCAGCCTACTGTTGCAATCTACATTTACTGCTATAAAATGTGAGATAACAAATTAATTACCTTGTAAAATGATTGTAAAAATAAAACGAGTTCTTAGAATGACACTCACTGCAGTGAGGGTGGAACTCATAGCTGATCTTCCATGAGGTTTCTGAGGCTGTAAATCCCATAGGGGATTTCCTGTACAGGACATAGAAATACTTCTTGTTGTATATCATCGAGTCAGAAACAACTCATAGCTGACCCTCTCATGGGTTTTCAGAGGCAGTAAATGGCATGGGAGGAAATTGCTCTCCTTCACCCCCACCCTCAGACCCCACTCAGAGCAGTTGGTGGGTATGAACCTCTTTCTTTCAGGTTTTCATTGCGGTTTTTTACCACTAGGCCACCAAGGCTCCCTTAAATATAGTATTAAATACTGTATGTATTAAAGCTACATGTGTCTCTCTGTGTTAAATATAGTATTTAAGCTTTTGGCTCTAGTGGCCTAGATACCAACTCCGGGTAACAGATCTAAAGTATGTGAGATGGCATCTTGCCCTTTTTACTTCTAAGGAGCATTCTGGCTACATTTCTCCCCCAAACAGACTTAAATGTTCTTTTGGCAGTCCTTGCCTTAGTCACTACTGTCCATCAAAGGCATCATTCTCCTTTGGTTTTCCTTAGCCATGTCTAATATTGTCACAAATATGAAGCAACTGAAAATACTGCAGCTTAGGGAAGGCATATGATAGTCTTCAAAGTAACATTTTTGTTCAATGCAATATGCTGTTTGATTTCTTTATGGCTGCTTCATTGTTTGTAGATCTAAAAGATACAAACCCTTAATAACGCAAATCTCTCTGTTTATGATAAACTTGCTTATCAGTCATGTTGTGAGGATTTTTGTTCTCTTTATGTTGATGTATGGTCCACACTAAGAGTTTTAGTGTTTTATATTCATCAGTAGTCTTTTCTTTGTAATTTTTAGCAAATAATATTATACCATTCGTATCATAGGTCCATCTGTATCATAAGTTGTTAACGAGTCTTCCTTCAGTCCTGATCCTGTGTTCTTCTTAATATAGTATAGGTTCTTGAATTATTTGATGAACATAGAGGTTGAATAAGTATGGTGAAAGAATTTAGAGTTGTGATAGGTATCTGAAGAAATAAAAAAAAAACAGAGAAACTATAAAATATCCAATAATTTACATCAAATATCCAAGAAAGAAAAAAACAAAATAAGCAAAGGTAAAGCCATATCTCCCTACTTTTTAAAGAAACTTTTGCTTTCTGGTATTAAAATAATCAAATCTAATACAGCTTTTATTTCCAGAATCAGACTCAGTTGGTGGAAATAGTGGTTTATTTTTTTTTTTAAGTGATTCACTTATATGCAACACTAGTTTTCTTTTGACTAGTTCTCTATCACTACAGCTGCTAGGGAGGTCAGAATACTATTTTGAGTCACAATTGGTAAGCACATAAGATCTTCAGCATTTGAATTCTCCCTGATCTTGAATTTTTATATACATTTTGGGCTCTTTGTAAGTTTAACCGATTTAGATTTTCTTTTTCATTGTACATCTTTTAGTAAACATCCTCATATTTTCAATGGAGTAAAACAGGATATAAATGAGTTAATATAGTGAGGATTGTTGTAATCTTTGAAATCCCATAGTTCCTTGTATTGTTTAGGTATATATTATAAATTGAATTAAATTTTCATACCCATGTCCAACTATTGTTTACCTTTGTAGATAGTGATTTCTTGTTGTCCAACCTAATATTGTCTTAAGAAGGATTTGTTTTACTTAAAACAGTCTCCATTCTGATGAATTAATAATGAGGAGGGGGAGAGATAGATAATTTTTTATTTCTTTGAAAATCATAATGACATATCCTGATTATCTGTTCTTTTCTTGGCTTGTCAATAGTGGCTGTTTATTCAACAAATATTATACCTGCCTGCTTCAGCTTTGATGTGACAGGCGGCTGATGCCTGGAAGCACTGTTATTTCCAAGTACATTTCATATTTAATTTATTACATGTCTCTCCATTACTGCTTTTATTGATGAACTCTACAGTGTAAAATGATTATTTGTTAAAGATTTCACAGTACTTTCTTTAAATTTTATAGCTATCAAAAAAATCCCTCTCTAAAGGCATTTGCAAGATGAGATGTGAGATAAAGAACTTCACGGGATTACGGATCTGTTCTGCTTACTCTCATCATCCCTTGCTTCACATAAATAGAGTGGTCTTATTTTTCATATAAGCTTTCATTTAGAAAACAGATAAAATAGATTTGGTACATTTCCATGAATATTGGGAATACACTATCAGTCAGGCTGAAGGAAAAAATAATAAAAAGATAAAAGCAGAAAGAATGTTTTCCGATTCTGAGGATCAGTCTACAGGTTGTGCAGAGAAGCCCACATAGACTCTTTGCGGTGACCCAATATGTGCTCAGTGTCCACTTCCTAATTGAAGGTCATGTCTCCTTTTAATAAACATTTTCTACAATTCTTCACTGTCATTGGTAATTTGAAAAAAAAAATCAACCCAAACAACCCACAATAAATGCAGTGACTAGATAGTAAAAAATGGTACGTGTTGATTTTTTTTTTATTTTAATGAACATTTACAGAGATTTTGGATTTTCATTCATTGTTGCACTTTTCTCTCTGCCCACTCCCCCACCCCCAGTTCGCTCTTCTCTTAGAAAAGTAAAGGAAAAATTCCTTCACTGGTATACAATCCTCACCGCACCCCCGACGCCCCGAGTATACTCAGCTCTGCAACCTTCATTCCGGACTCTTATGATAATCAAAATGCCCTATAATATATTGTTTTTTATAAAAAATTTATTTGTTGTTGTTGTTGATTGTCATCGAGTGAAGCATGACTCATATATAAAGACGTTATGAACAAAGTATCGGAAACCTTTCTATAACTATAGTCGTTTCTCCAGGTTCATAGTTTTCAGAGCCATGTTGTTTAGGTAGTGGATGCCAGATGAAGAAAAATGAAACGTAAAGGGCTAAAAAGTCTTCCCTAAAATTAGACCAAGGAATCTGACAAAAAATCTATTACTCTTTCCAAGGTCTTAGTTGTATTCCATGAAACCTTCATTCATCTATTTTACATTCATCTATGGTACATCTCTGACACACCCATCCCGATTGCCCCAGTCACTGAATCAATCCACCTCATAGAGGGTCTTCCCCTCCTGTGCTGTCCCTCTGCTCTACCCAGCATCATGTCCCTCTCCAGAGGCAATGCGATTGGCACAGGATAGGGTTTAGGGCTGTTGTACATAGGGTCACTATGAGTCGCAAACAACTCGACGGCACATAACAACAACAATTGTACATCTATTTTAATAGCAGCATTCACATAAGATTACTATGAAGCCCTAAGGAAGAACAATTTCATAAAATACTGTGTAACAATGGATCTGACTGTAGTCTATAATATGGACTGAAACTCAAAATCAAGAAAATGAAGATTTTCACCATTGGGCCTCTTATTGTAGCACCATGATAGGTGGAGAAGAGACTGATACTGTTAACAATTTTAGCTTGCTAGGCTCCACAAGCAACACTATTGGCAGCATCAGTCAAGAAAATAGAGGACAAGTTAGGAAAATCTGCTGTCAGTAACCTTTTTGGAGTACTAAAGAGCAATGATGTCAGTATAGTGACTAAGGTGTACCCGATCCGTGCCATGGTCTTTGCAATTACTTGCTATGAATCAGAGGTGGACAATACCAAAGATGACAGATGAAGATTCGAGTTTCTTGAATTGTGATGTTGAAGAAGAATACTGAACATGACATGGACTGTCAAGAGAACTAACGGATATGTCTTATAGAGGATGATATCAAGCTGTTCCCTGGAGGTAAGGTTTTTGAGGCTATGTTTCACATACTTTGTCTACATTGTCAAGAGAGAATAGACCTCAGAGAAGGATATCATGCTTGGAAGAATGGAGGGACAGTGCAGGAGAGGAAGACCTTGGATGAGATGGATTGACAGAGTAACTCAGTTAATGAGGATAGGTGTGTCAAAGACAGTGTGATTGGCCCAGAATAGAGCAAGGTTCAGAGCTATTGGACATACAGTCGCTACGAGTTGTAGTCAACTGCCCAGCACCTAACAACAACTGTGTAACATGGGAGCATTAACTCAGGGCATAAACTCAGCCTCATAAGGACAAACACTGCATAAAACCAGTATTGTAAAAATAAAAGGATAGCTAGTATGATATTATGAAGCACCATCTGACATACTTTGGGCACGTGGCCAGAAGGGGCCAGTCCTTGGGTACAAACATCATGCTTGGCTGGGTGGAGGGATAGCATAGGAAAGGAAGATCCTGGATGAGATGGATTGGTACCGTAACTTGGGTAATGGGGTTAAGTGTGTTGGAGACTGTGAGATTGGCTCAGGATAGGGAAGAGTTCAGAGGTATTATGTGTAGGGTCTCCATGAATCGTAATTAACTTGATGCCATATAACAACAGTAAGATGTTTATAAATGTCCAAAAGGGAAGGGAAAAGGGGGAAGTTAGGAAATTATTAGGATAGCATAGCTTAGCGGGTGAAGGAATAGGAAAGATTCAATGGAGACTTGAAAAGCTAGAGATAGGTATATATCAATAGTAATTATTTATATAAAATGTAATTATATAATTAATTATAGAAAATATAATTACATAAAATAAAGCATGTATGAATGTTTTTTAGGGAAAAAGTAAGTGAAAGACTGTATAAAACACAACACACATGAATGAAGCACAATCTATATGAATTATTGTATGCAAACCAATTTTAAAAAGAAAAGAAAGGTGTATCCAACAGGGAACGTCCATAATGTTGCTTTAGCTATGTCCATACATGGCTTTGGAGGACACCGACTTGATTCAATTTACAGAATGAGAGCATATATCATGACAGCAACAATATTGGAGATACATGGGAAGTCCAAAGAGGAAGATAATTCTTTGTATTATGTGTCTGCACATAATAATATATGTCTTTATGAGTTTTTGATCTTTACCTCATTCAGTTTTGCAACAAACCTCCAATATATACAATTTTATGCTCATAGCATTGAGAAAATTCAACCAAAGAGGATCTGTAACTGTCAGGAATCATCTTGCCCTTTGAAAGGTGGTAGAATAAATACTGCCTTACTAGTGATAAGGAATTGCACTGTCAACCCAAAGGAATGCAGTTCGAATCCACCAGCTGCTCCCTGTGAGAAAGACAAGCTGGAGATTCAGGGCCAATTGGAGGGTCAGCTATGAGTTGGTTCTAACTGGATGGTACACAACAACAACTGTAGTCAAAGTAGGAACCCTGGTGACACAGTCTAATGCATGCTGAGCTGTTAACTTAAAAGCCATTGGTTTGAATTCACCAGTTGCTCCATAGTAGAAAGATAGATTACTCAATTCTCTCTCTCTCTCTCTCTCTCTCTCTCTCTCTCTCTCTCTCTCTCTCTCTCATCTATCTCTATTTCTATAGATCTCTCTATATATATCTATAAATATCTCTATCTATCATCTATCTATCTATCTATCTATCTATCTATCTATCTATCTATCTATCTATCTATATCTTTATCTCAGATTCTGTTTGTTGGACTGCTAACCAAAGGATTTGAATCTAAGTCCTTCTGTGGGAGAAAGATGAAACAGTGTTCTCCCTTAAAGATCTGCAAATGAATGGAAGGCTGAAATAAGTAAAAAATCATCCTCTCAGTAGGAGTTGGCTTGGTTTTGCTTGTTTGTTTTATAGTCAATCTAACAGCGCATATAAGAAATCAGGTATCCATTCTTTTGACACTTAGATGTCTGATTTCTCATCTGAAACACCTCAAGAAAAGTCAATAAGAAAAAGAAATAAGCTTTTAAAACATCAACTTGAAGATTATTGATGGGAGAAGCAATTTAAAGCTGGGTAGGTTTTATAACACTTTAAATCTTTATCTAAATTGTGTATCATTAAATATAATTAGTAATTCTAGTAAACATAATAGTAAAATGTCTAAAAAAAGATTTCTATTATAATGGAGGAAAACAGAGCTGTATAGAAAGACTCTTCAAAGCAGATTACCACAGTTCAAGAAAGTAAAATTATTGAGGGCAAAGAGCAAAACCTAGGCGCCCCATCCATGTGGAGACAGCTTAACACAGTCTTTGTACATAGAATGATAAAAATAGCATTTGAAGGGCTAATCTTTCAAACCCAAACTTATAATTATGCAAATATCTCCTCAGGACATTAGTTCACGTAAAAAAAAAGACATTTTAAATATGTCCTTTGACTTCTTCTGAAATGGCTTAAGGTGACTTAGCAGTTAAAACAAGTGAGTGAAATAACATTTAAGGTTATTTGAAAAGGCATTTGAGAAAAAGCAGATAGAGCTAGGACTTTTGGACACTTGAGTTGAGAAGATTATAGAACAGGGACAATTAATTTATTTTCTGGCAGCTAACTATAAAGAGAAATCATGTGTTGTACAATAATGGAAAACATACAAATTCACCTATAAAGAACATTTTTTCAGTATCTTAATCAAAGCAGAAATTTAGCATGTAAACTCTGATTTAGAGAAATAAACAAACATCATTCAGTGCTTTTTATCTACAGCTGGGGTTTTACAAAAGCTACAGTAATACTGTTTTGCTGGGCGATTCACAAAGTGATCCTCTATAAAGGCAAAGGGCGTGACATTAAATCATAACTCAGGGAAGGCAATTTTGTGTGGGACTGATATAATAGTGTCCAAGTGCTTGGCTTTCCCATTCCCTAACTTAATGCTTGACTAGAACTTGGAGAGTCTAGATAAATGGCTAGTTAGCATGTCCATTAGACTGTCTATCTTAGATGGAAGACACTTGAAGCAAGCTTTAGAAAATAACTATCTCGTCCAACTCTTACCCAGTCATCTAATAAACTTGTTTTGCCACGATTCTATAGTGTTTGTCAAAAGGTTAATCATGTCAACATTTTTATGCACACATTTCAAGCAGCAGTGTAAAACTTGAAAGCCAGGGCATGAGGCTACTCAGATTCATATCACAGCTTTAAGTTATAAAGCTGTATAGTTCTGTACACAAACAAGTCAATGCTATGACTATTATTCCTACTTTAGTTGATAAAGAATGCTTATCCAAAAACTAAGAAGAAAAAGAAAACAACCCAAAAAACCCTCAAACATTTAAGTGGGAACCAAGTCATAGTTGATCTTCCATTGGGTTTCTGAGACTATAAATTACAAGGTATGAGGTTGCCTACGTTTCTCCCAAAGAGTCACCAGGGAATTTGAACTACCTTGACTTGCTAGGTAGGAGTTCAACTCCCCATAGACTAGGTCACTACAAATATTCCCCTTCCTATATCCATATTCTTTGTAGTGCTACTTTGTAGATCCTCCTATCCGAAGATTGAGACCATTTTCTTACTGCTTTTATCTAGGCTGACTTTGAGACTTGCTCTGACAACACATGATGGTTGAAATGATGTAGTTTAGTTGTGAGTGTAGCCCTCCAGAGGCATTGCCTTGCCTTCTTGAACTAGATCTCTTGAAACTATACTGCCTAGGTGTGAAAACAAGCTGGGGTTACACTGCTGGATGATGGCAGGCTTGAATCTCAACATCACCATCACCCTAACAAATAGCAGAGCTGCCTGAATGATCTGCAAATCATTTATATGAGAAAGCTCAGCTAGTCCTAGAACAGCCCAGCTACCCTCAGGCTCATTTATTGACCTACACAATTGTGAGCTAAATAAATA